CCTTTATTTTGCTCACTGGGGTAGACTGTTTCTAGTTCCATGTGCCATGCATAATGGATGTCAGTTATCAGTTATCTCCTGTTAATTCACCTCTCCAAGTTCTCGACTGCCTTAACCAAAGAGTTGTGAGTTCAATACCTGGTTAAGAAATAAAGGTTTCAGTTCCACATTCCAACCACCTGAAGAAGGCCAGAATGTACAACAGCTGAAATGTTGTAATAAATATGGCAACAAAGATGAGGGCAATAGTCCAAATAATGTAAATAGTGTACATAATACCTCATCTCAGAAATATAGACAGTTTCACAGTATACTTGTGTTTACCCACCATTCAACCGTTAGCTGTGCATTAAGTCATTTTTCTCTACCATTGGTAAAGTGATGGTCAAGGCTTAAAGGGTTAAAACAGTTTTTCAGGACTCTCAAATCCATTATTTTCACTTTCTAGTATGAATGAAGGTTATCTTCCTAACTTTTTTTGTTTAAAATAATGTAGAAAGTCAATATGTTAATTAAATTGTTATTTTCCCCATGTAGTTACATGTGCTATCCATTCAAGATTTCAAGTCATGTGTTTTTTGTTATTTTGTCTGATAGTTGTATAATTAGTGGACTAGAAGTAGTTTCATGAGTTGCTATTTTAAATTTGGATTCACAAGTAGTGCAATGGTTATAGGCACAGAAAATATAATCAGCAAGTTGAGTTTAAATTCTGACTTTGTCAATTGGATTCACTTTCACACTAATGCCTTTGGGAACTGCATGAATCCATCTCTTCTCTCTTCATTTATGGGCTAAATAGGGGTAAATGAAGCTATCTAGCTTTTGATAGCAATCAGTTAAAGAGAAGGAAAACTCTGAAATCCAAACCATAGAAAATGCAACAAGAAAAAACTCCACTATCTTTCCCAATGAATAATTAGAATTCACAGATAATAAAGAAAATGATTCTGTGGCGAGCTGTTATCAGCTACATCTTGAAATTAAGTGCTATTTAAAAAAATATGAAAATCTAAATTTATGTATCCCATCAGTTAGGATATTCTTTTAATTAAGGAAACATCTGCTATATCCTGACCTAGAATCAAGGTGACAGGACAACAAAATTTTGAATACTTATATATTGTATGCATCAAGACATTTTTGGTTGTCATTGGCATCACACAGAAGCATTGGGTATAGAAAAAGTTATGTACAATTGTAGGAATCATTCTAGTGAAAGAATAACATGATTAGAAAGAGCAGTGAAACTATATCATTCCAAGTGCAGTAGCAGACAGAATTTACAAATGAGATTTACTTTTTACCAACACTTTCTGTCTGAGAATATTTCATTCAAAGATGCTCTTCAAGAAGATAATACTTTAGTGATCAAACCAGAATAGGTCACAGAATCATAATCATGAGTCCTGTAACTCATTAGGTCACAACATATGCTGCAGCCATAATAAAAGTGGTGTGTCTTGGGTAAGATAGCTTGATGGAGACTAACCCTCTCTAAAACAGGTACATCAGGTGAAAATTTGGTCTGTAAAACTGCTATGTTATACAGGATAATTGAAAAGTATCCCCCCATTTTAAAATACTTATAATTTATTTATTAAATATAATTTTTATAAGAAATGGATATGAAAGGAAAGTGTTTATTTAAAATTCAATATAGGCACCAGATTTCGCCACTAGCTTCTTGAGCTGCCTAAGATTTGCATCAAATGATTTCATCAGAAACTCTTATGGTATGGAAGACATAACTTCTTGTATTCGCCCTTCAATTTCTTTTGGTGTCATAGTTTGATAGAGTAGACTTGCTCCTTTAACCAACCCCAAAGAAAAAAGTCACAGGACGTTAAGAAATATAGGGAGTTACTTTTCAATCATCTTGTATTCTTCAAGAACATAATCAAAAACTTATTTATACTTGCATATACCAATAATAAATTTAGAAGATCAGAATTGAGAAACATGACTAGTAAATGAATGCAAAGGAATTAGTCACTTAGATTTCAGAAATTTGGAATTATTTTATGAATATGAACGATTTATGAATCAATCAAGATAATCATTTTTTAGAAATGTCAATATTTTTGTGTGATGAGAAATTATCATTTACACTATTTATATTTGTTATTTTTATTACAATGTTACAGTTGTTGTGCCCTCAGGCCTTTCTCAGGTGTATATCAATTACCTACAGGAAATTCTGAAATCTTGATTTAAATGATGGTGATAGATTGTTCTTGTTCCACTACTTAAAGGTTCAGTTCAGAATCCCCAGTAGGCTACTCAAATCAATATACACCTGAGGAAGGGTGGAGAGTAAAATGGCCAAAATTTTGTGATTAAAAAAAATGAGGACAATAGTCCAAACATAAATAGTGTAAATAATGTCTATATTTATTGAGAAGAGATAAATTGAAAAACTTAGAATATGGATTTATGTTAGTAATTTTAAAACTAAAAATTTTGTTTCTAAATATTGTATACTCAAACCTTTTCTGTAACAGTAAACAATTTTAAATTGGCTGATATAATAACAACTGATTTTTGGCAAGTACTTCTTTCATTTATTTATGGTTGTTTTTTTTGTACAACTCCCAGATCATATATCATAATCCTTAGTAACCAACATAGATGAGAAATTATTAACTTCTACTAAGACTCAAACTTAAATCCCCTATTCTCAGAAACCTGCTTTTCCAAGACTTTACCAATAGGCTACAGATGACAGCATTTTATTCATTCAAATCTAGCCTCATAAATTTATTCCTTATTTTACCTGAATATCAGACACACTTTTTGTTCATGTACTTAAGTACTATTAATTTTAATATTCAAATTTTTGAGATGAAATATTGTCTGTTATTATTAATTTTTACCTATATTTCTTTGGTCGATATAAAATCTTTATAATCTTTTGCTGGTTGAACCATATTGGTTAAGAAACTACTTCTGACATTCTAAATTAACTATGCAGAACTTTCTGGTCAAATGTAGGTGTTTGTTTTCAACTGATTCTAATAATACCACTTGACTATAGAGGGGTATATGTTAAAGAATCAAGCATGGTGGCTTTCATGTAGTGATAAGTGATTTTGTAATTATTCATTGATCAATGTTAGAATTTTATTGCATATAGTTTCTATAAAAATAGCCAAAGCAAAATGTTCATGAATAAACATGCCTTTGTTTGTCTATATTTCTGAGATGAAGCATTGTAACTATTTACACTATTTGAACAGTTGTCCTCATCTTTACAAAGTTTCATCCGTTGTACATTCTAACCTTCTTCCGATGATATCTGTTGGAATTTCAAACTGAACCCTTTATTTAGGCAATGTGGGTAGATTGTTCTAATTCCATGTACCATGCCTTTGTATATCTCAAAAGCATATGACCCAGTGGATAAAAGCATTGGTTGTTTGATCCAAAAAGTGAATTGACTCAAAGAGTTGTGTGTCCATTCCCTGACATCACTAGAGAGAACAAAACCTGGAGAATTAGTAAGACAATTTAACTAAAACTGACATATCCAAAAGAGTATGTGGAATTAGAACAATCTACCTCTATGGTTTGGTTCAAAATTCCAATAAATATCACCTGAAGAAGGTACAATGGTCAAAATGTCATTAATGTGACAGCAAAGATAATAGTCTAAATATTCCTCTGTTATATAGCCTGAGCATAATTCTATCAGAATGTATACAGTGTATAGGGGTTAATTTGTTTAGATAGTGTTGTAACCTAGGAAAAGGTTAGTGAATAAGAATAACCAAAACAAAGAGATGGAAATGGAACAATAATATTTATAATAGAAACAACATACACGATTCGCTAGTGGCGTGTAGTAAGTAATCAACTGTTAGTGGTGAGCTACAAGTGAATCAAGGTGAACCACAAGTGAATTCCACAGTGAATCCAAATGATTACCACATACAGCATATTCTACTGTATTTATATGAATTGGGACATACCCATTAGGTATGGAATAACAGACAGGGCAGAATTTGAACTCAAATTTGAGATACCTTAAAAATGTTAAACTTTAGAAATAAATTCTATCTTGAATGAGTTAATGTGTTGAATTTAGATTACATATTCATTTATGCCTATTTGCAAAAAAAAAAATAAAACCCTGTCAAATGATAAAAGATCCCTGGAAGAAAAATCTGAGAACTTGGTCAGATTTTTAAAGTGGTTAATCTTCTTAAAGAAATTCAAGCCTGAACAAAAGATTTCTCCAAAAGATTATCAGAAGTTGAGCAAAATTACATTTAAGACAAATTTAGAAAGCTTCTATTGAAAATAAACCAAATGAAAAAGAAATCTTTAGTCATCTGATCTTAAGTTTTTGCTATGTTTGCATTTTTTAAATCTCTGGATAACTCCAAGCATCACTCGTTGTGTTAATGTGATTGCAAAACACTCGTTGATCAGCCTATTGTCCACTTCACTTATGACTGTTACCCAGAAGCAAACTGAAAGAGAAAACAAATGAAGCATCATTTTAACAAAATGTGAAAGGTTAAAATGGGCCCCAGTTCAAGCAAAAGGGTTAATATTACATTTTTTTTTTTTTTTTTTTTCCAGTAAAAAGGGTAAAAAAATTTCTGTACTAAAACAGTAACAATAATGATAACAACATCAAATGAAAAGTAAACAATCCCTCAAAAGGGAAATTATTACAAAATAATATTATAAACATAAAAAAATAAACACAGCACAAATAAAATAAATTTAACAAACAGAATGGATTAAGAAAGGGACAAAAAAGTTCTTTTTCAATAGCAGAAAAACAACAAAACCAAAAGAACAATAAAAAAAGAGCCACCAGCAGAAAGGTCACCATTATATTTGTTATCTTTATAATCACTGTTGTTGTTGTTGTTGTAGTGCTTCTTAATTTTGTGAAAATGGACCAGCAAAATGTTTTTGCTTCCAAAAATTTGTGTCTTGCTAAAAAGATGGGAAAAAATATCTTTGTACCATTTTGATTCTAAAGAATGAGTATGACAACACCGGTGTTACTAATACTAAAAATAATAGTTTTGATAATATTTACTATGATGATTTATAATTTTTTTCACCAGTTTTCCCTGAATACAAATTAAAATAAATACAAATTATTAAAAAAAATAATAATGAAATCAATATAATTATCATTAGAAGAAGAAGAAGAAGAAGAAACTGACTTTATTTTGAAACATGAAAATTAAACCAACTCTTCATTTTCTCTTGTTATTTTTATATATATGCATCTCCATCTTCTCTTAATTTACTCCTCCTTATTATCATTATTTCTCTTTCTCTTCTCTGATTTGGCCCTCTTTCTTCATACATTATCTCCATTTTTATTCCCTCCTTTTTGAACATAATTTTCACCTCTTCCTTCTCTTTGTTATTGTTGATTTTTATCACTGTTTTTTATGAAATGTATAGACCATGTTTCATGTTATATCTCTCCATCCTGATTCTATCCTCCGAAATAATCTTCTGCTTTCCTCCTACTTCTTTTTGCTGTTACTGTTCTTACCATTATTTTTCCTTTTCTTCTTCTTCTCCTCCCCTAATTATAGTCCCCTCTCCTTATTTGCTCTTTACTCTCTACAATTGTTCATGTTCCTTTCCTTTCTTTTTTAAGAAACAGCCAATATTTTTTCTTTTATATTTCTAGCTATTTTTAAAGGCTGCTTTTCAAATAACTGTTTATTTTTTTTAACTTTTATTCTTTTTTCTTTCAGGTTTCCTATTTGTTCTTTTCTTTCTTTTTTCCTTTTTGTTCTTTTCTTTCTTTCTTCCTATTTGTTCTTTTCTTTCTTTTTTCCTTTTTGTTCTTTTCTTTCTTTCTTCCTATTTGTTCTTTTTTTTTTTTTTTTTTTTTTTTTTTTTCTTTCTTCCTATTTTTTGTTCTTTTTTTTTCTTCCTTTTTGTTTTTGTTCTTTTCTTTCTTCCTTTTTGTTCTTTTCTTTCTTTTTTCCTTTTTGTTCTTTTCTTTCTTCCTTTTTGTTCTTTTCCTTCTTCCTTTCTGTTCTTTTCTTTCTTCCTTTCTGTTCTTTTCTTTCTTCCTTTTTGTTCTTTTCTTTCTTTTTTCCTTTTTGTTCTTTTATTTTTCTTCCTTTTTTTTCTTTTATTTTAATATTTTATTTTTTGTTTCTTTTCTTTTTTCCTTTTTGTCCTTTTGCTTCTTTCTTTCTTCCTCTTTTTTGTTCCTTCCTTCTTTCTTTCTCTATTCACCTTTTTTGTTCTTTTCCTTTATTCCTTTTTCTTTTCCTTCTTTTTTCCTCCCTCTATTTTCTTTTCTTTTTCCTTGTACTTCCCCTCTCTTTTTCTTTAACTGTTTTACTTTCTCCCATTTTTCTCCTCTCTCATCTCTTCCAATGACCTGCTTTTTTCTTCTCCTCTTTGAGCAACATTTTTCCAGTATCTTTAATTGTCCTCTTCTTTCTCACTTCTCTGTTATATTTTGTTGTCATTTTCTTTAATCTTTCTCTCTTTCTCTTCCCCTCATTTTTTTTCTCTCTTCCTCTTCATCATATTATCTATCTCTTTCTTTCCATTTATCACTCCTCCTCTTTTCACAGATCTCTTACCATCAACTCCATTAACATTTTTCTCTTTGTCTCTCATTTTCTGATTTTACTATTTTCCCTTCTTTTATATTTCATCTTTCTCTACCCTACCCATTCATTCTGTCTCTACCTCTTTTTCACTTTCTTTTATTCTTTACACATTTCTCCTCCCACCTGTATCTTTCTTTCTTTTCTTTTTTTTTTTTTAATTATGTCTGTTATTCTTCATTTTATTCTCTTATTTAAATCTTTCCCTCCATTTTTTCCTTCTTTTTTTCATTTCTGTTTCTTCTACTCATCTTCTTTCTTTGCCTTTCCTTCCATGTTTATCTTCTTTTTTTGCTTCCCTTCACTTTCTCCACACATTCATTCATTCATTAACACAGTAACACAAGGTCCAAATAAAAACACAGCCGCTGCATGAAACACCAAATGTGCACTCTTAAAAAAATATGACATGTGGAAACGCTCTGAATAGAGAGTCTTCCACAATTTTGCCATTTACATTCTGCATTAAAAAGAATCTTTGAATTCTCAAACGAATGTTGATCGATTTTCATCCTCGTTTGCCCGCCCTGTCTCCACCCATCACTCAGTGTGGTCTTTGTGAGCACGATGTGTCAATTAAAGACATTCATTCTTCTATAAAGAAAAAAAACTCTAAAATAAGGGAAAGCAAAAACTGACGTTTGGTCTGGGCATTGCATATGTTATCCTTCCCACGTCTATCGTGGCCAGAGTGCAATTGTGACATATTGCATGAATGCATGTGTGCACACACTCACACTTTTTATATTATATAAATATACTTATATTATGTGTATATATATATATATATATATATATATATATATATATATATATATATGTGTATATATATATATATATATATATATATATATATATATATATATATATATATATATATATATAAGATGTGTATGCACATGTACTTGAATGAATGTGTACATTTATGAATGTATACAGATTTATGTCCCCATGTTAATATGTATGTATATATTGACCTGTCTATTTAAATTCTTATGTGGACATACTCTAAGTACTTACGTATGGATGTAGGTGTATACATTTATGATCAGCCATATATATATATGTATATGCACACACACACACACACACATGTAGATATGCAGATTTAGGTTCACACAGGCATTTGCAAATGAATATCTATGAGAATGTGCAGAAAAGTTCACAGCCCAGCATGCTTCATAAATATGCTCAAATGACCAACAAAATATTTTTGTGGGGAAGGCCTTCTTAGTTAGGCCCCAAACCTTTCTGTACTCAGCTTATGTATATGTATGCATAAACAGAATTTAATTTATATCATATTTTTATATTCTATATAATGTATACATTATTGACTAATGCACATTACTATCTTGGCAGAGTATATGTTTATATATAGATATTTGTAAAAGAAAACATATATACATGTGTATATACATACATTAGGCATATGTAAAGATGTTAGAAACATGTGATATTTTATTCCCAATATATATATATATATATATATATATAATGAGATTCAGTGGCAGCTGGTAAGATCCACCTATAGGGAAGCTGGTAATAAAGAGTGCTCAGTGTGAAGAAGAGCCTATAAAATGTAAGAAGAATAAGAAATAGAACCAAAGCTACTCAATACTCAAGTTTCACCCTGGAGTTGAAGGATCATCAGGTCAGGTTCAATCTTTGCCTTTAGCTCATGATACAGGCCTTAGATATAGAGAAGTCATTTTTGTGTCTTACATATATATATATATAGTGTATAGGGGCAGCAGATTATTATTCAAACATATAGTGTTAAATATAACAGACAAAAAATATCTATTATGTTTGATCATAAGCCATTCTAAGCTTTGTATAGTGGCTTTAGTTTTGGGAGAAAATAAAGACAAAAACTGTCCAAAATTTTGATATTTTTTTTATTATGTTGTTTCTTGATTCAGTTCACATGAGCCATCTTCAGAGTGCTTATATGTTATGTTTGCATAGAAGTTTCCTATATGACAATAACAGTTAATAATGGTCATGGAACAGCAAATGCAGGTCATAAATTCAGAATGCAGTTCTATGATGTTGTACATGAACATGTGAGAGAAAGAAATGTTATCGACATAACCATATGTTTAAATGTATTGTAATATGTTGTAACTGGTTTGAAATGTAATTTTGTTAAGTGTGGGTTTCTTTATTTCAATGTAGATGGCCTCCAATATCTTAAGGTTCTTTTTTACTGTATCTATGTGAGTATTGTGTTATCAACTAATATCTCTCTAATATTATGTACATGGTTATGTTTTTCTAAGAAATGTTGTTTAATAGAACTAAGATCAGAAAGGTGACAGGTAAGGTCTATGGGAGACTGTGGTTGCAGTAAAACGAATATATGTTGTGGGTTTATTATTAGTATCAAAATCTCTGAACAGGCATGTAAAATTATACACTATATTGGGTTTTTTTTGTAGAGGTTTTAGTTGTAGGGCTATTAGAGACTATGAGGTCAATTGTTTTAAATTTTTTATATGATGAGATTAACTTGTTTATTATTATTAATAGGCTTAACATTTCTACCTATTATGTTTTTGGGTGTTGAGGCATGGAAAAAATAAATATACTATACAATATATATTATAGTATAATATTTTTTTGCTCCACACCTCCTCCCCTTCTTGACTTCCAGTGCCATGCAGGATAAAATTGGTGTGCATCGATGGGCACTTATTACCTAGCAACCTGACAAGCAAGACCTTACAGTCAAAACCAAGGTAGTGCAGTAGAATATAGTTTTTACTATTTTTTATATATATATATATATATATATATATATATATATATATATATATATATATATATATATATTTTAAGACATTTTTTATGTTTATATGTTCTTTTTTATAGATACAAATATTTAAGTAAATGCTCTGTTTAAAATAAATAATGATGTCACACATTATGAAATGGACAAAGTCCAACAATTATTTTAAGACATTTTTTATGTTTATATGTACTTTTTATAGATACAAATAAATTTGTTTACATTTGGATACACATTGAGCAGATATGAATGTATGAGAGAAAATCATGGAGAATTGTAGTTTAAAAACAGTAAAATCAACCTTGCTAACCAAAACGCTCCTCTGTGGCTCAATCGATAAATGCACATCAGGCTATATGATGGTTCTGTATAGGATACAGGTTCAATTCCTGTCAGAGGACACATATTCTCTATGAAAATTTCTCAGACAATCAGGCCAGTAAATGTTGTTAATACTGTTTATTATAAACAAAGCATTTACTTAAATATTTATGTCTATAAAAAGAATGTATAAACATAAAAAATGTCTTAAAATAATTGTTGGACTTTGTCCATTTCATAATATATATATATATATATACATAAGTGAAACTGGTTAAAGTAAAAAAATGTAAAACAACAAATAATTTTTCCTGTAAGAAATACTGAAAATACAGTTGTAAGTAATAAAGTTTGAATTTTAACATTTCTCTATAAAAATACATATAATGGAAATAAATATAAATATTAGGTGCTTTTTTCCCAATTCTTATTTTAGTCTATACAACAAGTTTTTGTACATAATTTTTCTAAAAATTTTATATACATTTATATATATATATATATATACATATATTTTTCTTCCTTTTTTTTTTGAGAAAGAGATATATATAGTGAGAGACATCATTTTTAAGGCCTGTATATTTTTATATATATGCATTTTATGCATGTTGGAGTAATGGATATTAACATTGATTAAGGAATTGGAGAACTGAGTTGAAATTTCAATTGTGCTCATTACATTAACTTACGTGTAACTACTCTTGGGGAAAAGTATGAATCAACTGGTCTCAGAGAAGGACAACTCTGAATTCAAAATTTCAGGAGGCGTGTTTGGGGATCTTATGTAACATTATATGCATCAGTTCTCTGTATTCAGTTCTTCTAAAAGTTGTGTGTGGTTTTTGCTCAAGCCTTCACCACAATAATCAAATCATGTGTGTGAATGGTTTGGCTGTTCACTTCTAAGAACTGAGTTGTTGTACCCTTATATGATGAAAATGATGGGAGAGTCCGATTTTATATATATATATATATATATATATATATTCAAACAGGTTTGGTTAAATAATTTAGACATGCTATGTCTGTTTATTTTTCTTTTAATCCTTTGGAGTTCATGAATCAATTTCTTGGTAGCCATAGAAGATTGATTAAGAAAAATACCAAAATTTTCTTTCAAATAATTTTATTTTCCCAAGTACTTTCAGTCTCATCTGAGACCATCTTCAGGGGGTTTAATTGCCTATGTATATGTATTTCTGTGAATTCAAAACATTTTACTTTTCATTTTACTGCGTTTTTTATCATTTTATATCAATTTCAAATTCACAAGGTTTATGGGTTTTTTTTTTCCATGCAAAGGAGGCATTACTCTTGTGTTCTTGTGGACCATTTGTGAGTAAAAGTTTTGAATTGTTTATTTCTGGGATTGACTGTGTTGTAACCAAAACTTCAGAAAGTGGGAACTTGCAAATATATGTAAATTAAATACATCAGAAAACTCAGCATTACTCTCACATCCTGATTATTTTCATTTTTTTTTTACAATGATGTTCATCTTGTACAAGGCCCAAAAGCCACTTCTGGTAGAAGGTTACAGAGTAAGAGGCAGAGCTTATGTGGATATCCATAGAAGATAATGCTTAACCCTACTTGAACTGGTTAAGATTGTAGCAATTGAGGAAGCATCCTTTTTGAAAGTTGGTTCCACAAAGCAGCAGTTTTTGGGGAGAAGCTACTCAAATGAAATTTACATCTCAACAATGAAATACAAATGAAATGTTTCACTAGGATGTGCCTGACATGGTCGGTCTTCGCAGTGAAGGTTAGGAATGGTGAAATTAAAGATGTAGTTCATCTGAATCAGTCAGTCAGTTATGTGCCATGTGTAATACACGCTTAGGCAATCAAGTATCTTTCGATACATGACTGACGAGGCAGATTTCTTTTTCTCGCCATAGGTTACTATTTCTTTCTACGGTAGACCAGTTGCCATCCAAGGCTACAGAACCCAGTCTGTCCTGCTATTTACTCATAGCTGGGGGGAAAAGAGGATTCATACCTTTCTCAATGGTATTAGCTCATAAGTGATTGTAATGGATTTGATGGCAGTGATGTCAGCCCACTCTTTTCTTTTCTTTGCTTCTTTCTTCCTTTCTTTAAGGTGGTATCATATGTAGGATAACAGTGCAAATATAGTTGGCTCTTATCTCCATACCATTTCAACTTGGTTTTCTTGATGGTAGTTCTGAGGCCTGTTTCTTGTCTTACACTGTGTCATTTGTGAATACTTTGAATAATTCTGTAGAATCTCATTTCTG